ATGGGGGCCTTACCTACTCAATTAGGCATCTGGTTCGGTCCCGTCGTTGTGGGAGGGGTCTCCAGTACCTGGTCGACTGGGAGGGCTACGGTCCAGAGGAGAGGTCCTGGGTCCCTTCTCGCCACATCCTCGACCCAGACCTCATTGCAGACTTCCATCGTCAGTATCCTTCCCAGCCCTCCAACCCTTCTAATCCACCAAGGGATCCTCATTCCACACCCTGCACCTCGGTTTTGGCAGCCTCTCCTGAGGGAGATCGTTCAGATGATGAGAGCTCCACCCATTCTGATCCTGCTGAATTGCCCATGGAGGACATGGACTGGTCAGGTACAGAGGAGTTTTAGGCCACCTCCTGCCGTTGGGTTTCCCCCCACCTGGGTGGGTGCTTTTGGACGTCGGGTGCCGTCCCTTGAGGAGGGAGTTCTGTCACACTCTGCTGTGCTTCCCAGGCTGATTCTCACTCACCTCCCTGCCAAACCTCCTCATCAGTGCTGATTCCCAACACCTGTGAATGTCAAGCTGCAGCTCCTCACTGCTGATTAGCCAGCCAGTATTTAAGCCACTCTGTGTCCCTCATTCAGTGCCAGATTGTCTTCGCAGCATGCACGACTCTCCAGCAGTATTTCTCGGATTGACTTCTCTGTTTCGACTCCTGCTTGTTTCTGACCACGTCTTCTCATCTCAGCCCTTGGATCCCCTGTCAAGTTTCTCTGCTCCTGTGAGTGCTTCAGGTTTTGCTGTGTTTCTGGCTTCTCGACCTACTGCCTGTCCACGACTATCCCTCCGTCTGCTCCCTCTGGAATTAGTCTGCCCCGCTGATTGTCTGCTAGTATTCGACATTGCCTCCACATCGACCACAAGCCCAGCCTGCCCCTCAACAGTGCCGCTGCACTTCTCAAAGATTCTCAGGCGTAGTGTATTTTCGGTGAGCACTCACCTGCCTGTTGGACCTGTTTCCTGTTGATCGATCTCAGTATATCCTTTCCTGTTACCTGTTGAAATACCTGTCTTCTGTGAACTGTGCAATAAAAGTACCTTCTAACAACTACCTGGCGTTGTGCTGCACTTGGGTCCTATATCCACACCTGACACTTTGAGAATGAAAAAAAATGACTGCAGGATTCTTGGTTTAAGCAGGACAGTTGTGAGTTAAGTGTTTTAATTTTTACAGGAATGTAACCAGTTCCTAAACAGTGAACGGTGAGGTTTTTTTATTATTTTTTTTTAATTTCCTCTATTTTGTTATTCTCTGTTCTCATCTGTGTCATTCACTCTTAAAATAAAGTCATGATGACATGATCTTATTGACCAATATTACTTTCTTTAAAATCACTTTTCATTTTGTTGTGGCATTATGACCATTGTGTTGCCACTTTCTGTTTAAAATTTGATGCAACTTTTTTATTTCGTTATATTGGAAACTTTAACAGTTCAATCATGAGCCATGGTACAATGTCATTGCATTTATTGTCCCGTCTTAAGGTCTATATAAAGTGTGAGGCTGATCATTAATGCATGTCAGATTTCAAAGTGCCCCATGATTTCTGTTTTCAGTGAAACTTTACACTGAATGAACATTTGAGTGTAATAGAGGCATCATACAAGAAGGCTGTGTCAAGAAAACAAAGTTCACATTGTATTGAATATTGAAAAATATGAATAAAAATAAAGTTAAAATCATTTAATAATGTGCAGGAGTTGTAGAGTTATTACAGTGCACATGTGTGCAGACACAAACAGCTGTTACAGCTGAGAGTCAGTTGATCCAGAGGTGATCAGCTGACGCCATCATCACCAAGAGACAATTCTTTGCCTGACACACCTGAAGAAAGGATGTCTTATGTTTCCTTGTTTCCTCTCTCCTCTCAGTGTATTTTTTGGTTGGCGGGGCCAAGACGCAAGGAAAAAAGATGCAAGTGAGAGATGCAAGGATACAACTAGGGAGCTGAAATGTACCCACAGACTGTCAGTACAGTACTTGACTTTGATTTAAAAAAAGACATAGAGGAGAGAGGAGGAGGGAGTTTGATTTTTTTATTACTAGTGAGAAAAACCATATGGTTCAGTGTTCGCAGGCTGCAGAACAAACTAGGTTTGGTGGAATATTTAATCATCCACCAACCAAGAAGATTTATCTGCACGATTGCGCTTTTTTTTCTTCCTCTTCCAGCTTGCACATCTTTGACCCCTGACAGATTTACTCTCAGCCCATAACAAACATCAACAGTAACATTAATAATAATAATAATCCTCTGTTTTAATGTCTACCTTATTGCTTCAATCAGGGATCTGGATTTGAGTTTTATGATCCTGCTCTTCATCATAATCACTTTCACTCTCTGACTCTGCAGATCATCATCCTCCTCTGAGCATGTTTCAAAGCACAGCAGAAAAATGAGATAACCAACCCCTTTAAGTAACCATGGAGGTACCAGAACTAACCAGGAGCAGGGGTAAACACAAATGCAATATGATCAGAGAGAAATCGAGACCCACAGCAGGGTTTGGGTCTGGGTTCAGGTTCAAATTATAGGTTCATAGAGGTTTTTGATGAGTGCTTTTGCGCCTCTCCTCAGAGTATTTAATAAACTTGAAGAGGTACCAGGTCTTCTTCTTTGTGTCTACTGATGGAAAGCCATAAGACAGCTGCTGTAGAGAGTGGAGGTGGGTAAAGCGGAACCTCTCTGCATCATTTCTACACACAGGAGGCTGGAGGACCTGAGGCTTTCTGATTACTGGACTTTCCAGCAAGACCATGACCCCAAGTAAACCATTACAGCCTTCTTCAAAATAAAATACAGGGATCTGATGAAGCAGACCCTCTTGGGTTTCCTTCCCTCGCCTGCACAAATCCTTACATACTTTCTTTTTGAAAGCTGTAATGTCAGTTTTAAAGGTTGTTATACATCGGCGAATTAGCGAAGCAAATAGTTCGCTTTTTTTTTTAAACCTCATAAAGTCAATGCAAGCTTTCACACTGGCTACAAACTTCTGCAGAGCAAAAAGGCGACTGCAATTTTTTTGCCCCTGTAGCAAATTTTGCAAACATTTGCAGGCAAACTGCTATATAAATCTACGTATAGGCTAATATAAATCCTACCTCAGACATGTGGCAAGCCATTGCTCGGATCAATTGGCTCTCTCCTTTTGCAAACGTGGAGTCAGATGATGGTGCAGTTCTTGAAATTGTCTGAGGGACATTCAGAAGTATTGTTGGAATTTCTCAGGATACAACTTGAGCTCCTGGATCGTTGTGTGGAGCTCCCTCATCTCCTGTTGCAATGTCAGTAGTCACTTCGATTCTTCTTTTTCTTTTTGTTACTTAATAGTTTTACAACCATGACCAGGTCATCATCACTTGAGGATGTAGTCGCCATTGTTTCTCCTTCTTCTTTCTCCCCCTCTGTTCTCCCATGGCATATTGTTATGCAAATATGTGAATTTTATTCGTGTTGCACAAGGTGTGTATAGGAAGGCGTAAGCCGAATATTTTGCATTTCCGCATCACTTTTTCGCCGGTGTGTAATGACCTAAACTCTTTAAATGTGCAAACATGAATAAATTATACACACTGCACATAGAGAATGAGTCTAAAAAGGAGAGACAGAAACAACCCAAACTTTAGCCAGAGGTCTGAAGATGCTGTGCAGCTTTAACATGGGAAAGGGGGTTCAGAGAGCTGAATCACGGCCGGTCTGTCTGTCTGTCTGTCTGACCTCTATTTGTCAGTCCATCAGCAGGCGCAGTGAAACCATCAGGTCCCATCACACTCGCTGGTCAGACCCAAATTAAGCAAATTGAAGCAGTGGATGGAGAGAAGCAGTGATTGTTGGAGCACTGGGATCAGATCAGACAGTTTCCCCTCCATCTCTTCATATTTACTGATCTCATTGTAGCCTCCAATCCAAGTTAGCAGGGATTATCTCCCATGGAAAGGGCATTAAGAGGGGGATAACCTCAGCTTGGAAGCAGTTAATCTAGCAGCATGTTAATGAGTCTTGTAGTGGATTGCTTAAATTAAAAGCAAATATCAACAGTCATTTGGCTGAAGGAGGCCTAGAGCACGCTTGCCCTCAATCATTATGCATTAAGTGATTTGAGTCGCCCGGTCGATGCAGTAATCATGTAATGTGAGTGAAAAACAATAAAATTAACAGGTTATCGGGAAATTAAGGGGACGGCAAGGGGGAAAGGAGTTTTTGCAGAAACGCAGGCTGGATTTCTGTCCCTGGATGAAAACACTTTATCAACTAGATTATCTGAAGGTCAAAACCTGTTTTTATCCTGGAGGGAGGTTTTAGAGCAAGCAGCAGACACTCTGGACTTTCAGTACACGGATGTAAAGCTCTAAAAAGTCCTACAAATGACTTTATACAAGGTCTAAACATACAAACTAAATCTATGATTTTTTTAGGACAACCTGAAGAATTGAAGTAAGTGTCCACCAAGAATGTAAATAATGAATAAAGTGTAAAATGTAAAACAGTAAGAGCTGTTGTATTAGGCATATTAAATGGGTTCTTCTCTGTGTGTCTTTATTCTTATTTTTTATTTAATTTTAATTTTTTTCTTTAAATACAAAACTGTAGTTTTGATGTTTCTGGATTAAAGTCTGTAACTTTCAGAGGACCATCCTGCGTGTCTAATACAGCTCCCTGGAAGGTCAGATTCGCAACTCAGTGCTCATAAATCAAAAACTGGATTCTTGTTAATTGACAAGATGATTTTACAGATTTGTAGCCTGATGCTTGTAATCACTGACTTAATTCTTGAAATTTCCACTGTCATGATTGTGTTTTACTCAGCTAACGTTAGATTTGTACTTTTTCTCTAAACTCATTTAACTCACGGTCGGTTCTCTGTTCACTTCAGACTCAGATTACTACTTTCCCACTGAACTAATTGTGGTCCGATAGGGATCTATACTCCCTACCATAAGGGGCAGTGTGGCTGGCGACTTCCGGCCGGTGCCTATAAATATGCTTCCTTGGCTCTGGTCTCTCTCTCTTTCTCTTCTCCCTCATGGAGATGGAGGCGTGTGGTGGCTGCTGGCATCCTGCCTGTGTGGTGTGGAGTGTTGTCGGGCTGTAAAATCAGGTATGCGTGATCTGTGATCTGGCTCTATCTATTCAGTTATTTTATGCTGTGTTTGACTCTGGTTTCGCTCCGCTGCAGCAGTGTGATGTGACTGGGAGCTGGGCTGTCTCCTGGAGTCTGTGTGGACACAGTGCGCTTCTCGTGGGTAAGATTCTGGTCTATCTCCAACTTTAGGCTGTGATGGTTTGGTGAGGGTACTGATCAATCTTCGCTCCCAGTCTTGAATGGCAAAGTCGGGGCGGTGCGCGTCCTCCTCCTGTTGCCCGACAATCCAAACATGCTCTCTGGTAGGAAAATTTATTCGTCAGTTTTGATTTATTTTGTATCTTTTTCTGGGTTCGGGTTTAATTAGTTAATTAGTTTCTTTTACAGTGCGTGGCCTTCATCTGCCGCTGTCTTGGCTCTCTTCGCTCTCTTCGCTCTTGGCTTTTTTTTTCGGGATTTGTTCTGCCTCTCTGCAGGCTGCAGCCACGCTGTTGTGGCTCACCGTGACTCCTGGTACCCTAACCTCTCCAGAGGCAAAGGCCGGCTGCTCCCTGGTTGCAGAGAGACCGTACACTAGACCAGCTGCGCTCCGCCTGCGCTGAAAGCTGACCAGGTTTGAATCGGCGAGCTTTCAGCGCACTTTATACGCTGGTGGCGAGCACGAAAATGTCACTGTGTCCACTGATTCTGTCGACACCTCCCCCTGCCATGCCACCACGCTGGCTTGGCAGATCTCAGTGCGCCTCAGTCCACGAAAATACCAAGCTGGCTGTATGCCGGGCTCTGCCAGACGAAAATACAACTGCGCGGTGTCTATCACCCTCCGCCGCCTCACCGGCGGACACGTAAATAGAGCCCGTTGTCATGATCCAATACTATGGTTTTTTTAAATATGAAATCATTTTCTTTCACTTTAAGAAGCTAATGGATGGGATGCAGGGGATACATTCTACGGCAGGGGTGCATTCAAAGGAGAATAAGGGGGAGACGAATTTAATGTCTTGTCAACTTCATCATGTGTGACTGTTTACTGGATCTTTAATTAAATGCGGTTTCAGCTGTGTTAATTCAGTCAGGTTGAGTGTCCAAACGTGTGCCAAATGCACTCATCAGATAAGATATAGATCAGAATATATCGATACAGATCTAAATGTATGTGCTGATTCAGATAGTTGCACTGAATATTGGTTGTTGTGGATTATTTATTGCACTGAAATGTGCCTGACACTGTGGAAACCTGCCAGTGAGGGATCGGTGATGTATGCGCACTACGCCACCGGTCAACTGGAATACCACTAGACCATCTGCGCTCCACCTTCGGTGAAAGCTGACCAGGTTTGAATCGGCAAGCTCTTAGTGCACTTTTCACGCCACCGGCATGAACAAAAATGTCACTGTGCAGCTGATTCCGTCGACACCTCCCCCTACCGCGCCACCACACCCAGCTGGGGCACCTTGGTGTGCCTTGGTCTACGAAAATACCAAAACCGGTTTGTGCCGGGCTCCGCAAGATGAAAATACTACTGCGCAGAGTGCACTATCGCCCGCCGCGGTGCACAAAAATAGAAATTAAAAAAATAAAAATAAAATAAAATAAAGTTTAAGAGCTGCCACATTCTCGTGTCTTTTGTTGTTGCCTGTACCATAAATAAAACTAGTGAGTGTAAAAACTTGATCAAAGGAGTTAAAAACCTTGGTTAAAAGAGTAAAAGATGCAGTGAGTCTGCTACAGTCATTAAAAATGTGAAAAAGCATTTCCCTGGAGCTACAGAAGGGGCACTGGTTGGAAACAGCAGGGTTGATGATTGAGATGAAGGCATTTGATGCAATTGCACCTTGGAGGATCCGCCACTAGGTCTCCAGCTCTTTTTTTCAGCAGCGCCTTGTTCAAAGTCCTCCAATGAGTTGCAGCATCTCCGAGCCTTTTGGTCCATACACGTGTTGCTCTTTTTTTGAGTCTTTTTATTTAAGACTTTAACACAGGCTTTGTAGAGGCTCTTCCCGTTGGTGCTGCTAAGGCAAAGAGCTGTTTGCCTCAGCAGCGGGCCTTCCATCTCTCCTGCAGGACTGATCTGTATATCAGGGAACTGGTCTGTGTCATCTGCCTCTGTCCCAGATTCCAGCTGTAGGAGGAGGCCTCTCTCTCCAGAGAATCAAGCCACTAATATTGGTACGTATTTGAGAGAGGAGAGGTTCAAGGGAGAGTGCATAGAGCATAGAGCAACACCCCTCTGCACCCTGAATGGAGCACTGTTAGGATGAGTTTCTTTAGCCAGTCCTGTCAGCCTTGAGAGTGGTGGAGCTGTGTCACTCAAATACCTCAGATACTTCAGTGTTAGATTGCTGGAGCCGGGGGCCTCTGACAACCATCCTTAACATCTACCTTGTACCCATGTTTTACATGACACAGGTCCCCAAAAAACGTTCTGTCATGGTATTTCATTCTATGGACCCTCCATATGTTCACCTAAAGCTCCTTAAAATATGTTGTTCTTTGTTCTTTCTGTACATGGATTTTTCTTAGGGTCAACTAAATGTCAGCAGGATCTTTAGAAACGTGGACGACTATACATACTTGAACGGTCTCAGACCAATCTTTGTTATGCTTTTGTTACGCTTCTGTTATGCTTCTGTTACACTTTGTTAAGCTTTGCCACAATTGTGACATGATGAAGCTGTAACCCAGATCTGTGACTAGTAAAGCTTGTCAAAATGATCATTCGTGTGGACCCTCCATTTTTATAAGGTGTGAGCATGGGCTAGGCATCCTTACAAGCACACAGACTGCTGTTGAATTTCAGCAGACTCTCAATGTAACTGTATAACACTCGGATCATGCCAATGAAGCCAGGGTCAATCCAAACCTCCCCATGACTTTCCAGAGGAAGCTGTGTCCAACCGGTCAAAAGCCTTTCCTGATCTAGCAAAGTGAGACCAGTGTTGATGCCCAATGACTTGGACACCTCCAAATCATCCCGATTTAGGTAGACGTTGTCTACCATGGACCTGCCGGGAACACAGTAGGTCTGGTCCCGGTGGATGACTTTCTCCATGGCTCCTCTCAGCCTGGAGGCCAGCGTCTTGGACAGGATTTTATAGTCCACACAAAAAAGAGACAACGGGCGCCAGTTCTTGATTTCCAGAAGGTTTCCTGTTTTGAAGGGAAAGTCACAACAGCTCTCCGACAGGAAAGAGGGAGAGAACCGCCAGCGAGACTCTCCCTAAGCACTTGGAGCAGGTCAGCACCAAAGATGTCCCAGTACTCCTTGTAAAACTCAACAGTGAGTCTGTCAATCCCAGGAGATCTTCACCCCTGCATACTTTGCAGGGCAGCTGTAAATTCCTCAAGCTGGAGAGGGCGGCTCAGCTGGGTGCTGATATCAGCTGATACCTGGGGCTAAATTCTGCAAAAGTCCACCTCCAGATTAACATTCTCCTCATATTCCGATGTGTAGAAATTGGTGAAGAACTGCGTAGCTCTGCCCCTGATGTCATGGGGCTCTGTCAGTTCCTGCCCGGTGTCTGACAGCAGGGAGTGGATCTGTTTTCTTTGTCCTTGTTTCTTCTCCAGGCTAAAGAAGTAGCCAGAGGGAGCATCCATGTTCTAGACCCAGGCCCGAACCAGCACCCCTTGTACCCTTGAGTCAAGCAGATTGGCTAAGGCCATCTTTTTAGAGTTGAGGACTTCAATGTGTCTTCGATTTCCTGTGGAAAAGCCAAGTGCCTCTAATTCCTCGATTTCACGCTCCAAGTCCTGTATTGATCTGCATGTATACTGCGTGACATTGAGAGTGTACTGTTGACATAGTAGTTTTATCTGTACTTTGCCATGGTCCCACCACTGACTAAGACTACTAAAATCAGCTACTTGGCTCCTGAACCCACACCAGGAAAAATTTAAAACTTCCTTAAAACCTTTATTTAAAATCAAACAGAATTAAAATGCCAGTATACGCTCTTTGGTATAAAATTTCTCAGAACTGCGTCACATAAAACCAGAGGGTGATCAGAGAAGCCAGATGGCACAATCCTACAATCTTTAAAAACATTAAAATGGTGCTTCAAACAATAAAAAACGGTTTAACCTTGCTAGAGAGACTCTGTTCTCTCTCAGGTGGGACCAGGTGTACTGATGACAGTCTGCATGCATCCTTCTCCACACATCCACCAGGTCATGGGAATAGACCAGCTGCTTCAGAGTGTGCTGAGAATCTGGATGTGGCTCTGTATGGTTGTGGTCTAAAGACTCTTTTTCATGGGGTGAACCTCCTGGAGAGGAGGATGCCCACCCCGCCACTCGCTGTGGTGTTGTGGCTCAAAAACACTCGCCCCTCCCACTCCTTCTCCCAGAACACCTCCACACTCTGATCACTGTGGACCTCTTGAAGAAATAAAACATCAATGTGTTAAGTTTTTGCTGTGTCCAACAAAAGTGTCCTTTTTTCAGCTCTCGTGCCCCATTAACGTTTAGTGTCCCTACTCTAAAAACAACCCAAGTTTAAAATAATAGAATTAAAAGTAGAATAAAAAAGACAAATAATGTACATAAAATCAGACTACATCATGACTTTAATGATGTTAATCATTAAAGTCATGATATTATTTGTTTCTTGACTTTAATCATGTGCTTCTGTCATCTAAATATCTCCTGTTTAGTCAGGTAAGTTGAAGCTTTGTGTTTTATGACGTGTTTTGCTGACATAAGAAACAAAATTTGTCCGCAAAATGCAGTTTGCCTCCAGTTGCCCAGCTTTCCTCGCCCCCTCAAAAGACACTAAATGTTTTCTCTTGCTACGAGTGGTCACTGCCCCCCATTCCAATGTCACACTCACAGCAGAAGACTGCTCACTCACACTACCTCCAGTTTTGTCAGTCATGCCACCCAGTGCTGCACCTCTACCACCTGATCCCTCCACTGAATACAAACCCACTTTCGGTGTCTCCTTTACTTCCCCAAAACCACTCTGCTCATCTGTCTCCCTCACTTCCCCCAAATTATTCACCTCATCTGTCTCCATCATTTCTCCCGATTCACTTACCTCACCTGTCTCCCTTACTTCCCCTGATTCACTTACCTCACCTGTCTCCCTCACTTCCCCTGATTTACTTACCTCACCTGTCTCCCTTTCTTCTCACAACTTTCTGACTTCACCTGTCTCCCTTACTTCCCCTAATTCACTCACTTCACCTGTCTTCCTCACATCCCGAAAATTACTCACCTCACCACTCACCTCGCCTGTCTCCCTCATCTCACCTGATCCACTTGCCCTAACTGTTTCCCTCACCTCACCTGTCTTTCCCGTGTCTCTCACTTCACCCTCCTCCATCTCTGCTTCTTCACCCACCCGAGCTTCCTTCTGACTCACGATCTTTCCCCCATTTCCCAAGTGCCTCCATCTCGGCGCAGGTACAGGCTGCCTGCCCACCACGGCCATTGCAGCATACGGCAGGCGCGGCTGGCACCTCCAGTTCATCGTGCCCCGCCGGAGCGACAACCGCGGCCCAAGGCAGGGCAGACAGGTGCGATGAACCGATAGTTGAACTCTTCTGCCTTGTTGTTTAATATCATGTTAACCTGCCGCTGATGCAACCCTAGGGGAGCAGCTTAGATTTACAGCCAGAAAGTAACTTTCTGATTGGGGAGACAACTTTACCATGGCGGGACAGTTTCTGGAGCAGGAACTCGTTGCTGATGAAGGGGGGGGGGGATCCTAGCTGCCGGTTGTGTCAGCAGCTGCACCGCTTAGAACAGCCTGTTCACTGTATCCACCAGCAACTTTACCTGCTCCACCTTCTCATGAAAAAGGACCACAGCTCAGTTCATCTGGACTGCCGATTTGACCGAGTTGTGCCCGATCCGCTCCCCGACAGCCAAAGCCACATCCTCCACGTTACATGCAGAGCCCACCGCCAATTTCACGCCATGCTTCCTGGACAGGGAGGAGAACCCTGCGTTCGGCGCTCCTGGTCTCCTCCTCCCAACCAGATGGCATCTGGCTGCAAAAACACACAAAAGCAAACACTCAAAATGAATTAACTCACCCTCAACTAAAAGTACACTAACCAACCATACAAATCACCAACGTGTACAGAATAGAAATAAATACAGGTAGAGCAAAACGTCTCCCAGTTTCTCTCTTCCACTCACACTCCTCTCACATGAAGAAGAGGAAGACGATTAAGAATAGGAAGATAAGAACAAGAAGAAGATGATGAAGATGATGATGATGTAAAAGATGATGTTGATTTTGATGCTCATAATGATGATGTTGATAAAGAAAAAGAAGAGTGTAAGAAGAGGAAGAAGAAGAAGAAGAAGAAGAAGATGATGATGATGATGATGAAGAAGAAGAAAAAAAAGTTGATGATGAAAAGAATAAGGATGATGTAGATGATGGTGATAAAGATTATGAAGTAAATGAAGAAAAAGAGGAAGAAGATGATAAAGATGATAATGATGAAAGATGATTACAATGATGATGATGTTATTGATGACGGAGAAATAGAAAAAGTAGAAGAGAAAGAAGAAGAGGACAAGAAGGAGAAGAAGAAGCGGATAATGATGATGATGATAATAAAGAAGATGATAGATGATGGAGATGATGATGACGATGATAATAATTATAATGATGATAAAGAAAGGTAGAAAAGGAAGTAGAAGAAAAAGATAATGATGATGAGGATGATCATGAAATGTTGTTGATGATGATAATGACGTTGATGATGTCAATGAAAAAGAAGGAGAAAATGATGATGATGATGATGATGATGATGATGATGATGATGATGATTGTGATGATCAAGTGAAAAAGAGGAGAAAAAGAAGATCATGATGATAAAGATGATGACGATGATGAAAATAGGTTGAAGACGGAGGAGAAGAAGATCATAATGATGAAGATGATCATCATTAAAAAGAAATGATGTTTATGATAATGAAGAAAGGTTTAAAAGAGAGTAGAAGAAAAATATGATGATGATGAAGATGATGATGATCGTCAATATCATGATGATGATGTTGAAGAAGAAGAAATAAAAGATGATGATATTGATGATGAAGATGATGTTAATGACAATGATGATGATGATGATGATGATGATGATGATGATGAGTTGATAAATAAAGGGGAAGAAGAACAAGCTGATGATGATGAGTTGATGATAAATAAAGGGGAAGAAGAACAAGATGATGATGATGAACAAGAAGAAGAAGAAAGGGGAAGAAGATGAAGATGATGATGAACAAGATGAAGAAGAAGGGGAAGAAGATGAAGATAATGATGATGAAGAAGCAGGAGAAAAACACAAAGAAGATGAAAAAGAAGAAGATGATGAAGAAGATTGAGAAAAAGACAAAGGAGATGAACAAGAAGATGATAATCATGATGATGAAGAAGAGGAAGACGGAGGAGAAGAAACTGATGATGATGATGATGATGATGATGATGATGATAATCTTGATGATGAAGAACAAGAAGAAGAAGAAGAAGGTGGAGAAGAAGAAGCTGATGATGATGATGATTATGTTATTGATGATGATGATGATGATGATGATGATGATGATGATGATGATGATGATGACGATGATGATGATGATGATGATGATGATGATGATGATGTTGTGCTGTAATTCATTTTTACCGAAAGACCTGGGTCTGACATATCATGGGAGTTCTTGTCCTTTTAGGCCACCATAGCTTTACCAACGGGAGGATTAACTAAGGGAGCATTTCAGTCAGAAATCTGACCATTAGATATCACTAAATATTCCTGTTTCTACATGCTATAACTTTGAGATTTTTTTATTGTCAAGATACTGCTTTAGTGTTGTGATATTAGGACTCTGAAATGTGCACTTGTGTCTCATAAATCTGAGTTATTTACCTCCTGTTTGTGGCCCTAATCCCCGGCAGCCTGTCAGCTCATGTCTTCTCTGGACATGAGCTGACAGTCATATATCAAACAATGTCTGGTCTTTTTACCTAGGATAAAGGTAGGTGGTGTAATTTGTCCTCCTGCCAGTCAAGTGCCATGAAGTGATGTGAAAGTTCAGCTTTGTTTGATTAAGTTTGTATTGAATCAGCTTTGCAGTCGCTCCAATTGCTGAGCAGCAGATTGAGCACAGGCTTTAACTGTACTGATATTAAAAATCAGCAGGCTGTAACAATATGTAATCTAACAACATAATCTAATCTGAAACATAATCTTACTTCACAATCACATCCAAAATATGTTTTCCACCGGTTTTCCACGGTAGCTAAATGATTAAACTCAGAGGATTTGATTTACACACAGCTGCACTTCTTAAAATTTCATGCAAACCTATGAATTTTCATTTCCTCTGATACAGCTCTGTGATTTCACAGAGATTTATATCATTTCAATCAAACAACAGTAATCCTCTATAGTCTAAAAAAGTGAGTTATCAGTGTGCATCCTCTGAGGATCAAGAGTGATAATGAATCAGTAGATTTAGTTTGGATGTTTTTCACTTGACAAACTTATTTCTCTTTTGAATACATTTTTGATCAAATGTTTTAAATAGCATTCATTTGCATTTCAGTTTTAAGTCCCTGCCAACAATAAAAAGAAGTTCTGAGCAGTATGCTGATTTGTGAATCAAATAGCTGTAACAAATTGTACTATTTTATGATTGTCCAATGTTTCTCCCACAGGCCTTTCTATTTGACCTGTTGTCCTGGTCAGATTCGCCTCCTGAAGGTTCCTCTTTGTGCTGTGTTTAGACACCTCTATGTGTGTTTTCTGACCCTGTGTGGTGGTGTGTTTATGATTAAATCTGCTTCTATGAGATCCATTAATGTGTTCGCATTGAGGGCTTAGTGCTGCTCTACGAATTGTTTTCTGTTGCTTACATGAGCTTATTGAGGAGAAACTGCAGCTGCCAACATCTGGACTGATACTGAACTCATGCAACGTGTGCATTAACACTGTCACTAAGGTTTTATCACTCACTGCAGTTTGTTCAGCATGGACTCAGACTGATCAGGTCACTGAGAAATCACAGCCTGAAAGATGGGGGGCTGCTAACAGGCTAATGCTTGCTCTAATAACAGGCATTAATAGTATCTGAAAGTATGATCTGTTCTGTATACCTGCCTCTCTCTCTGTGGTCTAATGTCAGGGGGATTTTTGCAGCAGATATTTCTGGTTGTCAAAGCTTTGTGTTGTTTTTAATCTTCATCATCATTTACAAGTGAAGTGTTCACTCATTCATGTTGAATTACAGTGAGTCATGCAATTCAGGCTTAAAAGACCCACTCTGATGAAAATCATGTTTTTCTTGTTGTCCACATGTTCATATGTCATTTTCCTGATGCTACAGGCCATATAATGAGAACACCAAGTCCAAAATTACATTTCTGAGTATTTATGCATTAAAATCACTGTGAAACTCTGGCAGACCCAAACAGAAGGTTCAGACACAATGAGATTTCCTAAGTCACAAATCCAAGCTCCGCCCCTGGAGCCCTGCTCATCAGGCCAGACCATAGACTGTATATACTATGGACAACTTGGTTCCACCTTCCGCCAGTATACAGATTCAAAGCCGAAAAGCTCCCAGTAATTTTGCGTTTTTTTCTACATTTCCTGAAACCAACATTGCGCAGTAGCGTTGTACGCATTTGGCGGGAGAGTTGTCGAGAGTCACTGTGATGAAGCTTGCCTCAGACAGCGTATCCCCCTGGGTGAGCTACACAGTCTTTGTATGCCCATAGGCTGTATCAGGTGTCAATCATAGAAAACATGAACCCCCTAATAACTTTTACAAACTGAGCTGTACAGAAAAAAGAGGACTTGAGTACAAACCAGTCTTACAATAACTACATGTCAACATTGCAAGCAGGGGGGTAAAAAATTTATGTTCTGTGTAATAAGTTTCTAAAGTTTGTCCACAGCTCCATAAGCTTTGCTGGCAAAGGCAGGATTTATGACCTATACTGCAGCCCATCACCAGAGTGTGCTGTTCTCGGGTTGGCTTTGCCCAGTAGTGGTGGGCAAAACCGTTCATTTCAGTGAACCGGATCATTCCAGTTCGTTCAGTAAAAAGATCGGTTCATTTCAGTCATTTCGGTCGGTTGGTCGTTAGTCAGTCCGTTCGCTCATGTTCACGTTCGTTCAGACGCTGAACGGTCTGACTCGAACGGACTGACTCGACACGGCTGACCGGGTTTATGCAGGGGGAGATCTGTTCAGACTCTGAACGAACGAGAGTCTCTTAGCTTCCTTTGTGACAATAACATCAAGTATTTCCAACAGATACGTCTTTGCTGACATTCAAAACACAGAGAGATCTAAGGATACGTATTCAACAACTGTGCGACTTGGGACAATCTCATGCGCATTTTTTTGAAAGTCTCCAGGTAATGGTCACTTTTTACACTGAAACACCGGCATGTTGACCCAGCTAAACCAAGCTATATAGCTTAGCTAGCACATTACGCATTCAAATGAT